CCCCAAAACCCCAAAACCCCAAAACCCCAAAACCCCAATCTATGGATATTTAGTTGAGTCAGCAAAATTAGGAAGAGTCTGCCTCCATTTCTGAACTCATGCTTTCTGAAAAGCTGCTTCTAGGATAGAAAATAGAGCCTTGGTTCGAAGGCTCTCCTTCATGAGAACGGGGGATTGGAAAGTCTTGCGACGAGTGAATGCTTGGTGTGTGATCAGGATGTTGCACAGGAGCACTAGGATCATTATGAGCTTGTAGTAGACCTGGTTGGATAGGATTAGCAGGAGGATTATTAGGTTGACTAGCAGCTCGGTTATTAACAGGAGCAATAGGATCATATGGCTCATTAACTTCAATCTGATGTGGTGAAAGGCTTTGAGAGGTATAAATGCTTGATGAAGGCTCATAGCTTTCAGACGAATCTCTCCTGCTCTGAACTGTTCTATCAACTTCCTTTCTTTCTTCAGATATATTAGATTCTTCATCAAGTTTGTCTGGTGCTTTAAATTCCTCATTCTTCTTTTTGATTAAGACTCCTTTACTATATTCGTCTCTGACAATATCAATGAAGTTCTTTCTGCAGAGTGGACATGTCTTTTCTTTTTTCGACCAACTATCGATACACTCCATATGGAACATATGACCATGACTTTTAGGGTTTCAATGAAGCTCCATGATGTTCTCTCCAACCTCGAAGTCTTCCAATCAGACTCAGCAGCTTGGACATGCGTTGGTATCTTCCTCTGTGAACTTTCGGCTCCAATTCTTCATCATCATCTCAACTGAGAGTGTAGAGTTAAGTCTGAGGAACTTCTTCTGGTGGTTGGCAGCATCCATGAATGCAAAAGCAAGATTTCTCATGTTCACTTGAAATCCTTCGTTATTTTGAACATTATTGGCATTATTCCTCTGAATTACTAGTCTTTCCTCATTTTCAGGACCTATTTCGTTGAAGAGTTGTCTCGGTCGTTCTTCTGAATGAAAAATATTAGAGGTACGAATCTCATAATGCTAAACTGTTCATGGTGGAGTCATTAACCAAGGTAAACTTTGATTTTAAAGAATATGCAGCGAACTTGAAAATCTGCTAATTGATAAATTTACTGTACTCTCATTGAATGGAATTTAAAATTAACTTATGATGCATTCTTCACAAAACTACTGAGACTCTAACCTAGCTTGTTGTTTAAAGTACTTTTGTGTAAGTTACCTTCAAGATTATTAAAATTGTTATTGTCTTCTCTGGCATTGGCTACATTGATTGCATTGTTTGCATTTTCTAAATTCTCTCTCTCAATTGCTCGAGCGTTACCCTGATGATTTCTCTTACATTTGTTGAAAAGAGCAGTAAATCAATCTCCGATAATAACAAATGGAATCAAGATAAAGGAACAAATAATAGCTACCACATATTTAGTATCATGAAATATGAGAAGCAGGTTGACAACAGCATAGAAATAACAGAAGAAGAATGCCAGCTCAAAATCTTGGAGATTTTTAATTGCTATAAAATATGCAATATTTCTTAGTAAGAAGAAAGTCCTTGCACCATTAATCCAAAAACTCCATTTTCCGTCAAACCTCTGAACTGTTGCCTTGAGTTTGTCCGAACAATCTGAGTTGAAGTAGAAGAGATCCCAGAGGAAAATCAGTCTGATGAAATTCAAGAAGCTATAACAATTAGATTATTAATGAAACCCTAGAACTCAAGAAGGATTTTTCTAAAGTAGAACTCTTGCTAGCAATTCAAAGAGGGAGTTCAAGCTTCCAAACTGAATTATTTTGCTTAATTTATTTGAAGAATCATACTGTTATTGACAAAGTTCTTAGTAATTTAGAAAATAAAATAGAGAATTTTGCCAAAAGAAGGATTTTTATGGAAATATATTAAAATGTTGAATTATTTTTGGACGCTCTAAGAAATTGATAAAAATATCCAGAATGTTAAGTCTAACAGCTTTAACCACTTACCCTTGATTGAAATTCAACAATTGAGGTATTTCTTCACCTTCAGCTCTACAGGTCACCGAGAAAACTATAAGTAAGCATCACCTCTATTCGTTCCTAATGCTTAGTCCTTGACCAAGCGTACTTACCAAACTGGTTATACAGTGTAATTGCCAGATGAACTAGCATCATAACGTATGGAATAAACATGCTGCCACTGTACTGGAAGGTGACTCTGAAAATATAGACATATCACATGACATAATGGAGGAAGACCCCCAACAGCATTGCCACTTTGCCTAAAGGCTTCATTTTTATTTATTTCTGTCTTCGTAATCTTAAGCGGGGTTTTGGGGTTTTGGGGTTTTGGGGCG